ATTTTCACATCTATATTGCTCATCTATGACAATAAAAAAAGACTTCGCTGAGAATATTTTATAGGTGACTACATCACACATGAGGTTTTATCAACTTGTCCCACCCAAATACTTCCTTGTCTATGATTTGTTAATTATTCCAGCATTGTCAGAATCCCTTTTTAAACATTTTAGTAAGCTATGACAAAAGATTGAGAAACACATTTTCAGAAGGTGAGACATCAACAGATGCTAAAACACTGATTGAAAAATGCTTCTGCTTAAAATATACTACATGTTGCCCATATCCTTTTCAACATTTATGCTCTAGTCAATGTATTATAATTGAGCTCTACTGAATTACTTTTCTAGTGGATAAATATTGTACACACTGTAGTGTGAAGAGATATCATGTAATGTATACTAATTAAGCCATTTTATCTGTACAGAAGATCATGTCTGAAATATCAAATTACCAGAAATTAAACATCTCAAAGGATTAATGAAAGGCTATGGAGTCATTCACTTCCAGGTCAACAGGTTCAATATCAGCTCTGTTTAATAGCTATAAGGAATTTATGTGCTGGAGATAACAATTCTCTGCCTCCATTCATAAATCAGAGTAAGAGCTCCTGGCTCATGCACCAAGAGCAGCTGCCTTAACCAGCACAGTCAGGAATGAGGCCTGAGTTTGGTCTCCATGAGATCACATAACACGTTTAGGGGATGTCTGCAATGTGCCTATGCAGCAAGAAGGAAGATCCACCAGCTGCTTGAGGATCTTCCTTCTGCTTATCATGATTCTGATCCTGCAGCTCTTAGTGCTTCTAGCAGAGGCATCTGCAAAGGCACCAGAAAAAGATGGAAGGGGAAGAACTACACTGATTACACAGGGCCCCCTTACAGCTAACATGACAGTAACTACACAGCAAACCTATACTTGGGGAGGAATCCTGAATTTGCAATTCTCAACTTTTTTGAGTTAAATTACTACAACAGCAAGAGATTTAAGAATCAGCTCCAAGGTTATGACATAAGTAAACAAACAACTCTAAGGCTACCAACAAAATAGAAAGTAGTTATGAAATTACTTTGGCAAAAACAATCAATCATATCTTGCTTAAATATGAATAAAAAAGGTACTGCACATATCTCTGTAGATAGGTTCAAGACGACAACACACTGCATAACAGATTTTTCCAAAGCCTAACACTTTAATTTCCTATTAGGAAACTGATTTTAGACAGAAAAACTTTGCAGTGTGAAGTAGTGAACAAGGGAACGATTCGGTGTTCTAGCCCCAGCTTTACCAATGATCTCCTGTGAAGCTTTGGTAAAGCCACTGTCTTCACTTCAGTATTTCCAAAAAAAAAAAAAAAAAGTGAGAAAATTCACCTACGCAGGCATCATGGAAAAATTAACTAGTATTTATGAGGTGCTTCAAGTTATCTATAAATGCAAGTTCTTACTCTTAGTCCTTAGTGAGAGTGTTTACACCCCTGCCCTGCACTCTGGATGAGAATGTTAAAAGAGTCACAATGTCTTGCTGGCAGAAAAGTTTTATTTAGTACCTCTATTACCAACCACATCCTTGTCATCCCATTTACCTTTCAAAAACTCCAAAAGCTGAAAAAAAGCACAAGGAATTTTAGCAGAAAGTGTTCTGGTGGCAGTAAAATAGCTTGAAACAGAGTATTATACTGGAAATACGTTTGAACCTCAGATATTGAAATACCAATACTACACACAGAAAAAACTGCGGCAGCTTAGATAATACATGAAAAGGCATCAAGCCTGCAAGTTTGTTTTTTTTAACAACTACAAACAGAATTCAAAAACAAAGAGCATTCTAACAGCTCTTTACTTTGCTTTCTTGGCGCTTACGTATTTCAAATCAAACACCTCAGAAAGAGCATTATTTTGAAAAATAAAAAATATGCAAACATAAAAGACCAAAAGTTATAGGCAGCCATTTTTATTACAGAAATGCCTTGTACGCACCTGCCCTGCTTGTCAAATCTCCTTACACTGCCAGTACAGTAAATGCATAGAAGAGATTTAGCACGACCTGCACTATACACTTAATCTTTCTATTAGAAGCTGTGAAGCACAGCATGCAGTACTGGCAGTAGAAATGTAGAAACATTTTACCAATTCATCTTTCCTTATTCCCTTTCCCCACTAGTCTCCCTCTTAAGCTGATATGCATTTTTCAAGTACTGAATTCCTTCAAGTGGATTTCTAGTTCTCTTTCCCGTAACATGCTAAGTTCTACAACTGCAATGCATAGCTTCTACAGCTTGTTAGCAGCTTGCAATCACAATATTATCCTAAGGGACATAATTCAGATTGAATTTAAAATATTTTATATGAATAGACTTAATTTTATTTTATTTAAAATAGTGCAATTTTTACTGAGGTTTCTCAAATCTTTGGATAGCAAGAATATTTTTGTTAATTTTTATCTGTTCAATAAAATATTTCAAAATGCTTCAACAATGTAGGCAAATACAAAGTATGCTATTTAGTAAGAATTTAAGGCACAACAGCCTACCGAGAGGCAGAGGAGCACATGGCATGTTTTCTGTGTTGGACAGCCAAAAGAAACAGAGAAGAGAAAACTCTTTTCTAAAGCATCTGACAAAGTATTAGAGATAATTCAAGATGTAAAGCAAAAAATGGATTTTTCAATATCCCATTACAGACTGTAAGTAACACTGTTTTAGGTTAGAAGTTTAAATCTGCATTTTCTCTCTCTCCCCCTATATGAATATACACAAACACACACATATACAGACACACATACATGTGTGGATAAGGTTTATTAGGAGGTATCTTAATAGATCAATGTACTGGGAAAAAGCCTGTAAACCCTTTAGTTTAATATAAGCTGTTACTGTCTCTTGAAAACTTGTCTCATGTCTCATGTCATTAGAATATCCTGACAAGAGCACTTACCTGCAAATTAAAAAAAAAATAAAAGCGCCTCTCTGTTGAAATTAGCATCTGCAATATTCCATTCTAATACTTAAGCCACTTAAAATAAACAGTAAAAATATGGATTTTGTGTAGTTTCAAAAATCTAAATGAATTCTATAAACACTCTTCTAGGCTCTCGACACAACATCAAGCCGCGGGTTGGCCAGGAAGGCCAGAGAACAAAACAGGCTTTGACATCGCAGCGAAAGAGGCAGCAGCAGCAGCACTGCGGTCTTGGTGTTGCAGTATAAACTATAAAGTCCACAGGGAAATCTAAATGGTGTATTTTTCTGTTTACCTTCAGGTGACAATGTCCAAATGCTTTAACACATCACTGAACGTCTGTTACAAAAACCCCTGTCACTAAGAATAAAAGCGGATGGATGAATAATGGCCAGGCTGGACTTTCTGCCTCTTGCCAGCAGCATCAAGGAGAGATTTTAAAACAGCTGGCAAGAAATATGAAGCCGATCTAGACCTATATGATCAGGCCTAGAACTATCAACACAGTCAACACTGCAAATATATGGACTTACCTCCAAACAGAGGCAAGTTGGATAGTTGCTAGCATTTCTCAGAGGATCCTGGCTCTTTGACAGAAGTCAGTAAAACTAGCATTTTCACAAACATGTTTTCAAAAATACAGACACAATGACAGCACTGAAAACTCTCCCTCCTTTTTTAAATCTTGCATTCTGATTAAATTGAATAAATATGACGAGGTCTGACCCCCCTCCATATATATATATAAAAAATCTAAATATCATACACTGTTAAACCTTGTGAATGTCCTCTTACTGTACATGAAGATTTTTCTTCCCATATATAAATTTCATTTTAATACAAAGTGATTAACAACAAACAAACAAAAAAAAAAACAGGCAGATGAAAAAAAAGGATTGCCTGTTTTTGTTTTTAAATACTCCTGCCTCTTTCTATTTCTTCCTGCAAGACTGACATACAATATTTCCATCAACAGGAATGAAAACAAGGATCTCCCAACCAGTAGCAAATAAAAGGTAAAGTGCTGATGGGCTGACTGTGCTGGCTGCTCCAGCGGCAGTTCCCATGTTGTGCCTATACATGTCCACTGTAACAGTCACGTTGGAGAGGGGTAGGGTGTTTTGTGCTGCACTTTTTTTTAATGACCAGAATGAAATGCTGGTTTCCTGAGAAGGCCCCTTTTAGCAGAGGGTCCTACAACAGCTAAAACTGTACAAGCAAAAAGGATCTTGTTGCATTTGAACAATATATTTTCACAGCAGCATTTAATTGTATCCAGACTGTTATGGCCAGATCAGCTGCCACCAAAATACGTCTGGCCTCTGAGGAGGCACCCTGATCATTTAAAAAGGATTCCACAGTCACCCTTGCCAAGCACTCTAGCTCTACAAACTGTGGTTCTTCTACACCATTTTTAGAAGAAAGACTTTGTTGCAAAATTATTTAACTCCTCTTCTAAACTGAACAGCTTCTTTGAAAAGAAATGTTGAATTAATCTACATTCTAAAATGCTTTAGGAAGAAGAAATTCCCAGCAGTAAACCCACATAATTAAGTGGGGTGTATTTAGGCCATTGGCTATTTTACTGCATCTCAGCTTAATATTTTCAAGCATTCTAGATGTGGAACAGACAATATGTTCTCCTCATTATTTTTCAAATGATTTTGAACAGATCTAACCCAAATTACAGCAAGATAAACCAGACAAGTGACAAAAACAACTGGCCTCTCTGTTTTAGGCTCTGGCTCATCTGTCCTGTGATCAAGGTGAGCCTGATAAAGCTGAAAATTACACTGTACAACTGGACTGTGTGAGATTATCTTTCCCCTGAGAAGCGATTTATTTTTAGTAACCCTTGATGAATAATAAGAAATCTTCTACTCCAAGATACTCCTCTGTGTGGGCAGAGCTTCTTATTGCTTTGAGTGGGAGACCACAAGAAAGAAACATAGAAAATGAATGGCTAGATGTTCTTTATGGTTCAAAGACAAATTTGCCTGAAAAGAGAGACCTTCAGGACAATGAGTTTCACAAAATTATCAAGAGTTTGTAGGTTTAACTGCAAAAGTTACTGGCCTATCTTCCATTTTATGAGTGTGAGGCAAATCCAGTTTTGGTTTTGTAAGATCTTGCTTTGTAGAATTTGGGCTTTGTTGATCTTTAGACGATTCCAGCAGACGTTGCATGTTAAGTCTGAAAATGAGACGAGGATCTGGTCCAGAAAGAGATGGGCAATTGCAGCTCTCTCTTATTTTAAGAGCCTGTGAATACATAGGAAAATAAATCAAGCTCACTTAAAAAAACAAAAACAAAATTTCAGTCAGCTGTTTGACTTCCTAATAAGGTCCACATTTCCAACAAAGTTTAGCAAGTACAATATTAAAGTCAATGGAGCTTTTATCTTCAACAATTGTTATCCCTAACAATCTTTCCAGAGAAATCAAGAATTTTGGAGAAGAAAGGTAACATTTAATGTGTTAGAACGATGAAAAAGAAGGAAAGAATTAAGGAATGGAAGAGGATGAATGACAAAATGTTTTCTCAGATATCTATTACAGATATCTGACTCAAGGAGGAGGGAAAAATCACCAGTAACATAATGGACATTTAACTGTTCAGCACAGAAATACTGAGGGTCAATCAATAGGGTAAAGGTTCAGCTGCACAAGTGATCTTATCTCGAAGAAGCATTTGAGCACACAGCTCCCAAGTGTTCTCAGAAAACAACATTCCTAGAATATCAAAACATACCTAGATTAAGAGATTAGCACTAGGAAATCAAATTTTAATTACTTCCCCTTCCTAAAGAATTAAATCGGCATTATTTCCATTTTACAGCTTAGAGAGTGGAGGCACAGAGGAGTTAATGGATATCTCAGAGTATCAAAATCCCTGAACAGATTTTTCTTGCAGTTCTTCCAGCTTTGTATTCTGGTTCACAGATCATCCTGCCTTGCAGGCAATCTGAGAAAGAAATGAATCTCACCGCTCAAAAACATCTTGAAGAAAATGATATAAAACAACGTCCTTCAAAAGAGGTGACTGTTTAAAGTTGATGTTCATTTTAGTGAAATTGAAAATACTCTCACTAGTCCACACAAACAGGTAGCATGCTTTAGAGCTAGAAATGGTGACCAGAGAACTCAGCTTGATGTACTGCTTTCCAAACAGGAGTTGCCCACAGACTTAGTAGTGGTCATGAATTCTCCCACAAAATCCATATAAGCTACCAAAAAAGCAAATTTCTACACATCCCATAGAAAACTATTATTTGCAGGATTTTGGAGGGCTCTACATTTCCACCAAGAATTATTTTGTCAAGACTTGCAAGATGAAACACCAAAACCTGTTGGTTAAATGATACGGCAGAAAAGTAGTCTAAAAATACTCTGATATTTAAATACTAATGAATGTCGTGGTCACTTCCGTGTAACGTTAATTGTATCTTAGCCTCAGTTAAAAACATACACCTGTGGGCAGATGACCATCCAGTTCCATTTCTCATCTTTTCATGGGACAGGAATCTTGCATGTCATATTTTACTCCTTTTTTTTTGCTGCGTGTTCTTGAACAGAAACAGCGACATTTGTCCTGAGCTGTAGATGGATGCCTGCTGGACAGTCAACTGTTGTCAAAAAGTATTAGGGACTGTTTATTTGCTCTAGATGGATTAAAAAGGAGGAGCAAGGTAACAGTTTTCACAGAGAAAATAAAAGCATAATTTTAATTTGCTTTAAATATGCCAGATTTGGTTACACTTACTTCAATAATATAGAGTCTATGCAGATAGAGTCACTTGCCTCTTACTCTCCATATGGCAGGAGCCCTACCTACCTACCAGTACCTCTAATCTTTACCCATCATTTTGAAGGTACTGGGTACTCTTTCACCATGGTCAGTGTGAGTAGCTTACTGCAACGGGTTTTAAAATGGAGGAATAGTACTTCTTAACTCATCTCTTTGTATACGGAGAAGAATCTCCTGTAAACGCCTAGAAAGTAACAGAATTTGAAAGCAACAATAGCTTTTTTTTTCCCCCCTTTTTCTTTTTAAGAAAGACATATTCCAGAAACATAACAAGTGTTTTCTTAGCTGCTTATTACTTGAAATATAATGTTTAAATCACTTGGATATGTGAGTCTGGATTAGGCAACTGTCTGACTAAGAATAAAGCCTTTTTTTTTATCATTATTTTTATAAAGGTGATTGTTTCTGTAGTCATCAAATGTTATCTATACTTCTGAACATGCTTCTGCTTCAGTGACCAATTAATTTCTAAACTGTCATTTATGACAAATCAAGTTTTCCCTTGTTCTGGAACAGAACATAAGCTGTTGCAAGACTGCATTCATGTCAAGCAGCATTACTCAACGCAAAGGGAAATACATAGATTTAGGCTGTATCCTGGAAAGTGCCATGTAATCCTCTTTTAAACTAATTTAGCAATTTTAAATCTCTGACTTCTTTGGCTACATAGTGCCTGGCTTACTTCCATGATTTCACTTATCTAAAATACTGAAGTCACAAAATCAAAAGTCAAAAAGAATACTTCAGAGGTAACACTTTTACCCTGCAGATGTCTTTGTTTTTTGCTACACAAAGCTGTCCAAGAAGGAATAAGATGCCAATTCCACATATCAACTCATAGGCCATTAAAAAGATGACAGTCTCAGAAGGCAACGCTACATGATTACAATGTGTAGTCATATTTATCTTTACCAGTGAGATGTTGTGATTAAGTAGCCTGTGGTATGAAAGGTTCAGTCCTATTTAGAAGGTGTTCTTCATTAGCTCAGCTGGCTACTGCCATTTCATTTCATGCCAACACCACTGTACTATCATTAAGATGACAGTAACTGACTGAGGAACTCGCATATATTTTTCCTGAAAGTTAAAACAGTCTGACATGGTCAGCCATATGGTACTTTCAAATTCACTAGCAACTTCTAGTTCAGTAATTCAATATTGCTTGAGCAATTTGGTCGTCAGTTTTTAATCTTGACAGTTTGGGCAAGAGGACAAGTAAAAACATTCTTAATGAAACACATGCACATCACTGTTATAAATAAGAACATCTCACTGACTGTGTATGCTGAGGAGTGTCACAAATGAAAAAGATGGACAGGACTGAGACAAGGTTAACTAGCTACAGTGAGAACACAGATGCACCTGTTTAATGCTGTTGATTCTCAAGCTAATGTTAAGATTAAAGTACTGCTGTTGGGAATAAAGACCACCTGCCATCTTACAGGTTCAGAAGATCTCAAAGTATAAAATGTGGAAAAAAAA